AGCTCTTCAGCTCAAGGCTAGTGCTCTACCACTTGGGCCACAAAGCCACTTCTGGTTTTCTGGTAGTTATTTGGAGATGAGAGTCTCAGGGACTTTCCTGCCCTGGCTGGCTTTGAACTGTGATCCTCAGATCTCAGCCTTCTGAGTAGCTAAGATTATAGGTGTGAGCTACTAGTGCCTGGCCCAGCCCCCCTTTTTCTTTTTTGACTTGAATTCTTGCTTTCTGCCTAAGCTGGAGTCCCCCTTCTAGTGTTGCTGAGATCAGGCATGCTCATCATGCCCAGCTTTTTCCATGGAGACTGAATCTTTTGGAATTTTTCTTTTTTTAAAAATTCAATTTTAATTTATTTTCATCATTTTTTAATATTAAATTTCTTCTTTTATTGTGAAAATACCGTACAGAGGGGTTACAATTATATGAGAAAGGTAATGAGTACATTTCTTATCAAGCATTGTTGCCTCTTCCTTTGTTTCCCCTTTCCATCCCTTCCCATCTCCCACCCCCATTTCATCATTTTTTCATGATCCAGATATTTTTGAATGCCAAGAAAATTAACTTTGCATGATATGTCAGGGATGGGCACTAAAAAAAAATCAGACTGCAAATGAGTTATACAAATGAAAATATCAAATGGAGATCGTTATCAAAATGAAAGCATTCAACATATTAAAAGTTCACAATTACTTGTACAGCACACATAAAAAAGTCAGCTTGCTAACCAACTGTTGTGATTTTAAAGAACTATTGCAAAAGATAGATGAAAATAGATTTATTAGTAAACTTATAAAGAGGTTAAAGAGTCTGAAACAAGTATTAAAAAGAAATTCCTGTCTTTATTAGAAGGGTGTTAGGCTTTAAATATCCCAGTTTTGGTAATCAAATTATTGTTTGTAGTTTTTGCTTTTCTTAGAGCTATAATACTAGTCCAACCGTGTTGTCTTTTTCTTTTAAAGCAAGAAACAGAATGCAAGTAATCAGAAACCATTAGCAGGCATCAGTTAATCCAAGATACTAGCTTCTTAGTTGCAAAGAAAACCATTGTTGGGGTAAGGGAGAGGGGAGTGGAAGAGATTCATAATAACTGGAATTCCATGAGTGGGTATGCCAAGTCTCATAAGAGTATTTTTAAAATTTATTCTTTACTTGGTCACTTTTTGTTCCTTGGACACCAATTTTGCTTTGACTTTTTTTCCTCAAAGTATAAAAAGTATGAAATATAAACAAGCTCTTGCACTGCACATTTAGAAGTGTACAATTGAAGCATTATAGAGCTATCTACATACTGATAAATCCCATCAAATCTTGGATAATTCAATGATATACAAAATATCAGGGCACAGAAAGAACTAAAACCTGCTTCTTTTGTTACACATAAGATTCAAATATTCAATCTAAAGAAAAACAATCATTTTGGCTCTTCTACATTTGCATGTTGATACACTTATTAAAATATTCCTGTATGATCATGTTTGGTCTTACTATTTAAGTCAGGTTTAAAACCTCAAAACCAGCCATGCAGACAAAACAAGTAATCAGAAAGATTATCTCTTTTCCATTTCCCAAACCCCAAATAACTAGGAAGTCAATTTTTTTTTTTTTTTTGGGTCCGGCCCTGGGGCCGGAACTCTGGGCCTGGGCGCTGTCCCTCAGCTCTTCAGCTCAAGGCTAGCACTCTACCACTTGAGCCACAGCGCCACTTCCGGCTTTTTTCTTTTTGCGTATGTGGTGCTGAGGAATCGAACCCAGGGCCTCATGCATGCAAGGCAAGTGCTCTACCACTGAGCCACTCTCCCAGCCCAGGAAGTCAATTTTAAGACATGACTCCAAACACTGGATTGTGACAACAAATGCTAGGCCCAATTTTTTCAGTCTCGTAACTTGAACTCAGGACCTAAGTGCTCTCTGCCTGGGCTTTTGTGCTCAAACTAGTGCTCCACTACTTGAGCTACAGCTCCATTTTGGTGGTTAATTGGCGATAGGAGTCTCAAATCTGCTATAGCTGGTTTGATTTTCACATCTCAGCCTTCTAAATATTGAGGATTACAGATGTAAGCCACCAGCATCATGTTGAGCTTTACTTTTCTTTTTTTTTTGGGGGGTCCGGTCGTGGGGCCTGAACTCTGGGCCTGGGTGCTGTCCCTCAGCTCTTCAGATCAAGGCTAGTGCTCTACCACTTGAGCCACAGTGCCACTTTCATTTTTGCTTATGTGGTGCTGAGGAATCGAACCCAGGGCCTCATGCATGCAAGGCAAGTGCTCTACCACTGAGCCACCTTTCCAGCCCCCTGAGCTTTACTTTTCATTCAAAATTCTACTCACAGGGCTGGGAATATGACTAAATGGTAGAGTGCTTGCCTAGCATGCTTGAAGCCCTGGGTTAGATTCCTCAGTACCACATACACAGAAAAGGCTGGAAATGGTGCTGTGGCTCAAGTGGTAGAGTGCTAGCCTTGAACAAAAAGCAGTTTAGGAACAGTGCCAAGGCCTGAATTCAAGCCCTGGCACTAGCAAAAAAAAAAAAAAAAAGTCTACTCACAATGTGTGGCAGTATGTCTGGTAATCCCAGGCTAAGGCAAGATGATCTTAAGTTAAAGGCCATTCTAGGCTATATGGAGAAACTGTCGTTAAAAAAAAAAAAAAGAATTTGAGGGTTGGAACAGGAGAGGGAAAATGGGGGAAAACAAAGAAAGAGGTGACAAAGATCAAAAAGCATTGTACTTATAATCTGATTATGGAATTATAACTCCTTTGTACAGATACTTCACAACAAGAATATATTTTTCATGATACATGCTTTTCTGAAAACATTTCCTAATGCTATTTTCACACATTGGTAGTGCAAAATAAAGGCATTATTTCAAAACAAAATGAAACTGATTACACACCTATCACCTTTCTACTAAGAGTATTTTTTTCCCAAATCAATCTAGGTCCACAGGAGCAAGGGCCTCATTCAGCCAGCTGGTTGCTGTGGAACCGCTTGTAAGGATGGAGAATGGAATATATATACCAGTGGCCCTGAAGCTCCAAAGTTCCTTGTATCTGTGACTATTTCTTTCTTTTTTTTCGGTCCGGTTGTGGGGCCTGAACTCTGGGCCTGGGCGCTGTCCCTCAGCTCTTTGAGCCACAGCGCCACTTCCGGCTTTTTTCTTATGTGGTACTGAGGAATCGAACCCAGGGCCTCAGGCACGCAAGGCAAGCGCTCTACCACTGAGCCACCTTCCCAGCCCCATCTGTGACTATTTCTGTATGTGCTATGCCTTTAGGAAACTCTTCTGCCACTTGTATTTAAAAGTTTAACTGGGCGCTAGTGGCTCAAGCTTGCAATCCTAGCTACTCAGGAGACCGAGATCTCAGGATCATGGCTCGAAGCCAGTCCAGGCAGGAAGATGCAGCAGACTCTCATTTCCAATCACCGAAAACCAGAAGTGGAGCTGTGGCTTCAGTGTTAAGAGTGCTAACCTTGAGCAAAAAATTAGGGACAGTGCCCAAGTTTTGTGTTCAAGTCCCAAGACCTGAAAGAAAAAAACAACAAAAGTTTAGGTACTCCTAAACTGACTTCCAGATTGCTGTCACCAACAGTTTCCCACCATTGGAGGTGCAAGAAAATATCCTTCCTCTTTCTGAATTTCCCCAAACCGGCTGGAGAGGGACGGGAATCCAGGACTTCATGCATATTAAGCACAAGTTCTACAACTGGGTTATAACGTTATCTTCATATAATGTCTTTCCTTGCAAACCTGGTGGGGCGTTTTTCTTATGTTCATTGGCTACGACTCTGGAGATTCTGGGATGACTGTTTTTGGGGTGGGGTGTGACCCGTTCTGATTTCAAGAGTGATCATTGGATTTAAGAACTTATTCCAAACTATTTGGGGGGGGAGGAGGGTTCCACGTTGACTCTTGGACAAGCTCGAAACCACGTCAGGAGCGAGGAACACTGGGACCCCACAGAAAAAAACAGAAGGTCGCGGGACCAAGTTCCCAGTGTCATAAATCGCTCCGATTCGGGGCTCTGCAAGCCTCTGAGTTGACCCGGGCTGAAGCGCTCGGGCCCCGGCCCAGAGGCACTGCAGGGCAGCCGGGCGGGTCGCGGCAGATGTGCGGGTCCGAGGCTTTCCCGCAGGGGGCAGTGCCGCCCGCCCGCGCGCCCTCGCCGTGGGAGGGGGGTGTGGACCCGCACAAGTTCTGAGGGTTGTTTGGAAGAAAGTTAAGAGAATAACCGAGGGGTTGCGGGCAAGACTCTGGGGTTGGCAGGAGGGTGCGGAGAGAGTCTCTAGGGGTGCCGGGGAGGGGGTCGGGGTGAGTTTGGGGTGTTGCACGCGGCGGGGAGGCGTAGCCCCCGGAAGGTGCGAGGGAGCAGTGCGCGCGTGCGAATGTAAGTGTGTGCGCGCGCGCCGGAGCTCTCCGGGTTCCGCGAGGCGCGCGGGTGTCAGCTTGCAGCCGGGGCTCCTCCCTCCGGCC